GTAAATGTTTAATGAAGGCAAGGACAACCCAAGACAAGGAGAACCAAAGGAATCTTAATACAAATTAGTACACTAAATGTGAGATTGTAGTCTATCACGAGAGTAAGCTTGGACTACTTTACAACACACACAGGGACCTTGGGGAACAAAAGTATCGTATTTTTCCGTGTATAAGACGCTACTTTTTCATAAAAATCTTTATCTAAAAATAGAGGTGCGTCTTATACACGGGGGCCGCGGTTTTGAAAGTGCTGATACCACTGCAAACTAGCCTCACGGATTGCAGAGACAAGATAACAGTTCTACTCCAGTCATAAATCTTTTGAACCTTACGTAAGCTGTTGCTGGGGAGATCGTGTAGGCAGTGCCCAGAGCGGTAATGTCGGAGCATTCTGTGACCATTAAAATGTCAGAAAGTGAAAAACAACCTGTAAACTCTCTAAACTCATGGTATGGTGTCAAACAAGAGGTGATTGTGAAGTCCTTCAAAAAATGTGGAATCAGCAATGCCATGGACGGAACTGAGGATGATCTTGTATATATAGACAGTGACTCAGCAGACAGTAGTGATGCAGCAGAAGTTGAAGAAACTGATATGTTTGAAGCTAAAAGTGATGAAGAAACCAGTGATGCAACAGAGGCTGAATAAAGTGATTGGCTCAGAGGTAAGTGTGATGCATAATATCATTTAAAATATTGATTTCTGAATTTTGGGTAAGAAAAGTTGGGGGCGTCTTATACATGGGGGCGTCTTATAGACCTAAAAATACGGTAGCCCCCCTCCAGAAGGACGCACCAATTCAGAGATGATTTGAGGATCTACAGCCGAGTGGTACATTTTTGTTAATAGTTAAGGTACTTGAATGCATTTTTAAGATTTAACTCCTGAGTTTAGTGTCACTTTAATGGTGAGCATCTTCATTGATAACATTCATATGTGGCATGTTCTGCAGAACTACAGGTTCTGAAATGTGTCTCCTCCTTACGTCCACATAGCGCTGCAGAGATGAATAGCTTACAAATCTTTGTGGCAGGGACATACTTCCTGTATACACATGTGTAGTCAGGTGTTTAGCTGGAACTGCTTTTTATCTCTATTCAGCGGCATTGCTCTCATTACAAACACTCTTATCTACACTCCAAGCTGTGCCAGGTCTCTTGTCAAAGCTCTGAAAGTAATATACTCCAACAACAAACATGACCACACCACCTAAACACTACTAATTGCATAAATAACTTATCTGTACCTGTATGACATGTTCTTCACTTGTAATCTCTATGGCTTCTTGGCAGTGTTCTAACGCAGTAAATATTGAATTGCAGGACCTACAACAAACACACAGTCAATGATTATTATTTAGTTACGCACAAAAGAGGCTTTCACGTTGAAAATTGATGTAAACACATTAATGGAAACCTCTCACTGACCAAACTCACTTTAGTACGAGCTACTTAACTTCCTAAGATCAATATCACTGTGGAGTAGAATGTCCAGCCAAAAAGAAGTAATGCAATTTAATTTGTGGAGATTGTTATTGTCTCCTTAAAACTGATGTTTGCAAAACATAAAGAGCAACTCTAGGTCACAAGTAAACTTAACCACTGACTGCTTAGGGTAACCAGAAAATGCTGCACATGTGTTGATGTCAGGGGGTCTACTTTATAAACCTTTCTTCTGAGCTTTATATTAAAGTGAGGAAATAGTCCCCTCTCTCCCCGGGCCATACCACTTTATCGGAGAGCCCGGGGGAGGCCGGGAGAGAGGGGACAGTTTGACATTATGAGGTTCCACAGGCTGAACCACAAATTCCTCCTCCTGTTCTCTCTAATGCAGATGGGCCGTTCTATGCAGACATGACGCCGCGACCCACTGCAGAGGGTGTCGCGACCCACTTTTGGGTCGCGACCCACGAGTTGAGAACCACTGATCTAGAGCACCCAACTCCAGCAAGCTTTACCCTGGATGGGACTGCAGACGTGTCAAAGCATGCACTAACATTGACAGATCCTGATCTGTCAAGGCCCTTTAGTACATAACAGCAGTACCATTGTTTGCACATTAAAGTGCAACTAAAGGCTCTTGTATGACAGTCTAAACAACAACCAAATCAAGTTGCCATGTGATGCACAATCTTCATAGAGTAAACAAAAAACTTGACTTACCTTCCCTGATTTAGCCACATCCTCCTTCATTTGTGGTTCACATGCTCCCCCTTCCAGACACTGCAGCCAACAGTGGGAGGGCTTCAGCATCAGAGGCAGTTGACAGGACTAGGTATGACCAGGTGCTGATTGACAAGCTACAGGCTTGTGAAACAGCAGTGGCAATGCCCCTCTGCAGCAATTTCTCATTATAGGGCAAACAGGCACAGCCTACATGAAAGTGGAGACACTGCTCTGAATATAGAAGCAGTGCAGCATTTTTGCCACACCATCACAGGAAGCTGCATTTGGTGGATGTCGCTAGTAGGACCAACTTTTATTTGGGGCTTTCCAAGGGAACTAAGAGAAAATTGTCAGTGCAGATGCACCTTTTATTTAGTGCTGCTTTGACATCTTTTTTTATTAATGGGAGACCACAGTTTACTTATTTCTTTGAAGATATTTTACATTATTACAAAATGACAGCAAATTTGTTACATAATAATACTACTAAGATATTTAAACAAAAGAACATTGGAGTGTTTAAATAAATGTTTTTCCTCCAATAGCAAGGCCCTTACTTTTTTCTTGTGGACGGAAGGGGGGTGGTCCTATTCATTTACATGCACTGCTTATTAAAACTTGGGCTGCTCAGAACAGAGCTTGTTGGCTAAAGTCCACCTGAATAACTTGCATCCATTAACAATATCACAGGCCAGGTGATCTGTGTGAGTGCCTGCTGCAGAGATCACTTGGTTGGCTTGTGGCACACCTGCAAGCACCCTTATACTGGTATTAGCAACTGGTATATTATTGGTTGTAAACCAATTAAATGTACCATGTCATGTTAGAATAATGGAGGCTGTCATTTATTAACTCTCCTTTGGAGAATGCTGGGTCCCTGCTTCTTGCCAATGTCTTGGGTTCTGTTTGAGTAGCTGACATGGATAATGTAAAGAAGAAAGGAATTCTGAAACGTGTCTGACACCTTTCTGAAATACTAGTTTCCTTTGCTCCATTAACGTCATCTAGTGGCCATAATGCAATATTACACTCAGAGTGTTCAAATTTAATAACACTTGTAAAGGGAAAATCTAAAGAATGTTTCTGCATATATACAACGAATGTTCACAAATATTCACAGGGCAGCAATTGTTAAACCTTGGGATTGGGCTAAACAAAGTAAAGCCTAATAAATGAAAAGATATACATTTTAAAAAAAGATAAGCCTGCAAAAATAGAATAACTGAACACTAAATAGTCAGATTCTTGCATAAGCCCAGTTGTGACTGGTTGTCAACAAACAGCCTGATTTTTATAACAGCACTACAGATACATATGCAGATTTATCTCCTGGGAATAACTTTTCCTTGGACTTAATAAAATAATAAACCTATATTTGTCACTAGAGTTACTCTTTAATTTATATAAAAAAACATATATAAAAATAGCTCATCCCCCACATATATCTTGTTATATATGTGGCTCAACTTGATCTTTAGCATAAGTATAGCTTTAGTATAAGTATTAAAGCTAGTCACACTGCATCCAAATGGACATCATTTTCAACAGGTATATGCATACATACCGCAGTTTGAAATGTGAGCGCACCTCCCCATGTTCTATCTGGATAAGTTCATTGTAACAGGCAATCATACTGTTATTCTCATAAAATCTCTGAAAAATATATAAACGAGATTTCTGCTTGTTTAAAATTATTATGATTTAATGGACAATTCTCACACCAAGGGAAACTACAGCTTTCATGAGAAAGATTTTATGTCCTGTAGGCAGAGGAGGACTGGTCTGTAGGGAGACAGAGGATTGTCTGGCAAGCCTCGTTCTGAGGCTACTCTAGAGATCACATGACCTTCCTCTAGGAGGCAAGCCTCACTCTGAAACTTTACCCACTGACATCTTACTGGAAAGGTTTACTCAGAGTAAAGCTTTCAGGGAGAAAATGCCTCTCTCGCAGACATCAGGGAGCTGCTGTCCAAAAGAGGGAGACTCCCTGATCATCAGGGAGACTTGAGATCCCTGCATGTGGGTCTGGAGTATGTGGCTGAAAATGATGTAACAACTACCAGGGAGAAAGGGGGATGTCTATAATTTTTAGCTGAAATTGTAACTTATTTATGCCAATGTTATGCCGCATCTATGCACTGACTGTATCCACTCCCATCACCACTCCCAGAAGCCTGAATACAAACTAACCTGCCCATGCGTGCCCTGGTAACTGCATGATACAGCACTGATGAGTTGGCTGGCTGCGTGTGTGAGTCAAGTAAGGAGGAAGAGATTCGTGGCAATTGGCGGCCATCTTCAGTAAGTAAACAAAGGAAAGCCTAAACTAAGCTGCAAAATTAACTAAAATGGAAAATTCATATCCTGATGATGGGGCACAGTGCATGTTCAAGTGACTAAAATTAAATTATTCATTTTTTGTTGTAGCTAGTGTTATGCATTTTTTCTCCATAGGTATTACAACCTCAATCCAGTGATGTTATCTAGCCAGCCCAGCAGCACTGACCCATTCCTGAAGCTTTCCCCAAGTCAATGGTCAAAAAGCAGAACGTAACAAAGCAATGTTGTCCACAAGCATTGCCCCATTGCAGAAACCATGACATAGTCAATGTACACCAAGCAAGATACAACACTGTGATTTCCTCCAGCAGCAGCGCCCCATTCCTGATGCCATCCCCAGCTCTGCTTTTGTCATTCAAGCTGTAACAAGATGTCCAGTGCACAACATGTGGCCAACATGAACCCTTTAATACAATAGATATGCATAGCGTTTTTTGGTAATGGAAGACAAAACGTAGTTCACTCCCTAAAGCCTAGTTATGTTAATACATTTTATTTTGGGGGGTTTCCAATAAGATTAATCCCCCAAACACAAGTGCCATCCCCAGGTCAACAGGAGGCAAGCCAAACACAACACTGAGAAAAGATCTTCACGATCTTCCTTATTAAGCCAACCAGAAAAGCCTAAACTAATCTCAAAAATTGATTTAATAATAATCAAAAAATATCCTTTGGCACTGTAAGATTTTATTTAGGGGGTGAATCACTCACATAGACCGGGTATTGATGGGATTTGTACTAATATTTATACATATTAAGACTACTGATGGTTTAGCCAGATTAATCAAAGTGACATTACTATATAAGCTTGCAAAAATGAGGGAGGCCAGCTAAATATTAGTTTATGATGACATCCTTGTTAAATGTACTCATTCTCCTTCACTCTCACTAAAGAGACATGGCTAAAGTCTATATAACTAATGTCAACATCTTGAGGATTGGGAAATACAATGTACCAATGGTCATCCTCACCATACATAGTGAAAAGAAAGCTTGACCAATTATTGTGTATTTAAATTTCCTGTCATCTGTTTGTTCACATCTTGTATCTTGTTCAATAAGCATGTAGAAATCAGACAGATCATTTGTCTCATATTTGCACGATTTTGGCACACATACTATGCAAATTAATATTATTTTGAGTTATGTCATGGCATCAGAAACAAAGGCAATGTTGTTGAATGGTTCGAATCCTAGCCAGGTCACTATCTCCAAAGACTTTGCATGTTCTCCCTGTGCTTGTGTGGGTTTCCCCCGGGTACTCCAGTTTCCTCCCACACTCCAAAGACATGCTGGTAGGTTAATTGGCTCCTGTCTACATTGGCCCTCATATGTATGCATGTGAGATAGGAACCTTAGATTGTAAGCTCTTTGAGGGCAGGGATTTATGTGAATGTGCATTATGTAAAGTGCTGCGTAAATTGCGCTATATAAATACCTGTAATATAAATACCTGTAATAATAATGCAGACTGTAGTTGTTAAAAACTTGACTGTTTGATTGGGATGAGCCCCTAGACCTAAAATCCCCCTGTGGGCCCCAGAGTTCCAGTTTGCCCATCTCCAGCTGAACCATGTATAGAAAGGATTTTAAAACTGTTATTGCAGATTCTTATCTTAAATCTAGGCTCATAGTGGCCCGCTGGAGAACCAGAGGATCCTCCAGTAGGCCCCGACAATGTCAAACTCTCTAGGGTCATAGAGCTCTGTTAGGATATTTGCCGCTAGTCCGTAGTAGGGCATTATTAGCGGGTTGCAGCTGTTATCATAACCCACTTATATTAATGATCCCTGGCTCTACTTGTTTCTGCCACCCCGGCATGCAATTAATTAATTCTTGCAGGGCAGATGGTGAGCTGTTGAGTGTCAAAATTAGCCAACTCCTCTGCATGCTACATCTATGAGGGTTATTCACAAAAGGGTAAAGAGTTTGGAGAAGGCAAGAGAAGTCATCAATCTAGGCCAAAATAGCTGATTTGGAAAAATTCTCCAATTCAGCTCACTTTCCAGTTCAGCTATTCTGGCCTAGACTGTTCACTTCTCCTGCCTTCTCCAAACTTTTCACCCTTTTGTTAATAACCCTGTATGTTTCTTTGGTTCTTCTATCATTACTCTTTATTATAAATAGAAACATAAAGGAAAACACTTAAAATTAACTATTTGAAATTCTTGGCTCTAGAAGATGTCTAAGGAAAAGCAAGGGAAGAGCTGTACTTCGCCCCCAGTATTATGCCTGTGAAAGCTGGAGTGAGGAGAGAGCACTCCCCAGTATTGCATTACTATTTTACTACTGTAGGGATAAGATGACAGCTTCCCAATCATGTATGTGGGAAGCCCACATGACTGCTGCACGTTAATGCTTAAGAGGAACAAATCATTTGGGTGGGTTATAGAACATGTTCTTTCAGCAAAAAGCCAATTGTTTCTTCACTCCCCACTCTGTGCTACAGCTGCAGGTTTGTGACCTGTTTAGTGTGACTGAAGGATGGGGATCATCAGATCCTGCACATCCGGCTGCCCTTTGAAGTATATGACCTGCCCAAGCCCAATAAGTTCTGAAAATGATTCCTGATTCACCATTTTCTTGAACAGACTACAATAACTAATACAGATAAATGTCACTCACTCTGTTGAATCCAGTATGCATGAGAGGAAGGACCGACATTTCTTCTTGATCAGATGGTCTGCAACAAAACAGACATATTCTTATGAATACATACAATTTCCTTAAACATATTGGTGGCTTTACAGAGGAATGCTACATAAAGCTAAATACACAATTTAAAAAATATGCTGTTTTACCTGCAAAAGGATTTCTTAATTCAGTTGAACCACTTCCAAGAGTCTCTCCTGAACCCTCCCCCCCAGAAGCACTAATTGATGAGTTGTCAGAGGAGTCAGATTAAGGCCGGACAACAGAATTTTGGCATGACCAACAACTAAGCCAGGCCGTTTGTCGCTTTACTTCGTACCAAACCAACCACATGAAACCGAAATATATATTTATGACATTATTAGATTATTTGCTATGTTGCTGGCTGATCAGTTCTTTTTTTTTTTTTTTTAAACAGTGCTTAATAATGTAACCCTATCAAAAACCTGGGAAACATAAACTGCACATATAATGAAAACTGTATAAGCAAAGGTTACCTTCAGTGAAATCCACACGTCGCAAAGATCAGTAGATCCAAGTTATTGCATATGTTAATGCTGGTTTTTCATGTTAAAGCAATCCTTCACCAGTAAGCCTTCTTTTTGGTCAGTAAGATAAACCATTAGAGGCTTAAGATTGGCTTGGGAGAAGAGAGGGGCAGAACCAAGATCAACTGTTACAGAAAAAGTCAATATATGTTTTTACTAAAGTTAATCTCTGTATGTCAGCCCTAAAGTATCAGTCAGGGTCAATGGGGCACAATCCTTAGAGTTGAGTCTGACTCGAGGGACAAGACAGGGATGTCCTTTGTCCCCACTTCTGTTTGCCCTTGCAATAGAGCCATTAGCTGCCAGCATAAAGGCCGTGACACACTGCACGCGAAGCCGTGCAGAGCGAAGCAAAGCTCTCCGGCACGGAGCTTCGCGTGCAGTGTGTGAGCTGAGTGCAGTCAGATGATTGACTGCACCTTCAGCCAATCGGCTCGTCTGTAACAACCGGCCAGACGTCGCATCCCGTCGAGCCGGTTTATACGCGCGAGCCGATTGGCTGAAGTTGAAATTGTTCATCTCGGCGCGCTCAGCTCTGCGAGCTCTCGCAAGCTGAGGTGCCGAGAAGAAAGTGACATGACACACTGCTCGCAAAGGCAGCGTGCCACCGCTCCGCGCTGCTTCGCGTGCAGTAAGTCACGGCCTTTAGACAATCAATATCAGTGAGAGGGCTAATACGAAGAGGGAGCGAGGAAAGAATCGCTTTATATGCAGATGACATGCTCCTTTTTCTGTCTAACATAGCAATGTCCCTCGACAATGGCAATTATTTCGGAATTTGGGGAGTACTCCGGAATATGTATCAACTGGGATAAGTCTGCCTTGCAACCGATAGATCCTCTCCCAGATGGCGTGGAGCAGTCCGCCTTCCCGTTTATGGTTGTGAACTCTTTTAAATATTTGGGGCTGACGATATCTAGACAAATAACAGACTATGTAGAGCTCAATCTGTGTCCTGTACTGCAGAGATTCAAAAAACAAAGTAAGACTTGGTGTAGACTCCCGTTGTCAGTAGCAGGCCGTACTAACCTTTTAAAAATGATATGGATGCCCCAGCTACTATATTTATTACATAACTCCCCCTGCTGGATTACAAATAGAACTTTTAAGTTAATTAATACCCTGTTTAGAGAACTTATATGGAAGGGGAAGATCCAAGGATTCGGTTAGAATACTTACAACACCCCAGTGATCAGGGTGGGCTAGCAGTCCCAAACCCATGGGTGTATTTTGTGGCAATTTCAACACTTTATGTGATGGGACTTGAATGGGGCAACAAACTCCTCATATAAAGTTTTGGCAAGTATGTTTGAAGGGGTAGACCCATTAAGAGCATTAGAAACTCAGGCATATATAAAGAAGGGGACGGGGGATACCCACAATGAAACTGTTAAAGAAAATATGGGGACTGAGCAAAAGGATTATAGATATAGAAGGATACATAGTATTTGAGGTTGAATAAAGACATTAGTCCATCAAGTCCAACCTATACACTAACTACACTCCCTTGTGGGCAAATGATCAACTGACTGAACTAATTAAATTACAGGGTTTTTGTAACTGGCAGAAACTCGGGATAGTCTCATTAATGCAACTGTACTCCGGGGGAGTGCTTAAGACATTTGGCCAAATAAGAGTAGAATACCGATTGGAGAACAAAATGTTTTTTCAATATTTGCAACTAAGACATGTGTTGAGTGCGCAAGATTTGGTTCCAGCAGCATGCTTTGCTCCAACTCCCTTGATCGATCAGGTAGTTAAAGCTAAGAAGTCTAAGGTGATAATTTCCCTGGTGTATCACTGTTTTTAAAAAAAGGAACTACAGGCATTTCCATTGATATGCAGGGAGCGCTGGACAGAGGATATAGGCATAATTGATGAGGAAATAAAGAAGGCAGTACTTCAAGGAGTGCAAGATGTGTATATTTCTTTATCACATAGATTAACTCAATTATTTATTATACATAGGGTGTACAGAACCCCTGAGTTTTTATACAAATAGGGGCCCGCACAGACCCAAAGTGTGCGAGATGCAAGCATCAGGAAGGCACATTTATTCATTTATTATGGAGATGTCCAAAACTAAAAAGGTACTGGATATGGGTCATTGAATGTTTAAATAGAATATATGGAAACTCAGCGGGGGAGGGGCGGCGATTTGCATATGAATGAGCCGCAACATTTATGGGCCGCGGCTTATTGATATGCAAATTACTGCAGGCCATTCATATGTTAATATCTCGGCCGATACTGGGGCAGTGCAGGCTGCAGGAACAGCACCAGCAAGCTCCGGAAAGAGCACAGAGTAGAGAGGGCTGGGGGAGGAGGTGTTTCTCTGGCCTCCCCCACCAGCGCCCTCTAGTGTCTACTGTGTGGTAGTGCCACCTCTGCTCTGCAGTAGACACTGCTCTGCACAGAGTCGGCATAGCGGACCGGCCCTGGCTGCTGTGCGGGCCACATTACAAGGCCCGGCGGGCCGGATTCAGCCCGCGGGCCTTGTGTTTGCCACCCCTGATCTAGATAATAACAGCACTTTAGCAAAAAAAAGGCTATTGTTTCTGGCTAGAAGATTAAAAGCAGTCAAATGGACTTCGGAGTATCCCCCTACAATTGAAGAATGGAAAGCTGAGATTAGTAAATATGTTCGGTTTGAAGAACATACTTACAGGATGAGGGGCCAGTCAGGTAAATTTCAGGGAATTTGGAATAGGTGGATTGGAAATAGGAATATTTACCGGACTTGAGAGCTCCTGGATCAAGAGGACAAAATATAATATTATAAGTGGAAGAAAAGGGAGGGGAAAAAGGGAGAACGGGGGAAAAAAAAGAAGGGAAAGAAATGCGCAATAGTAAATAGAATAAAGATCGATAGATAAGTAGGGACTGCAAATAGAGATTGTACTGCGGTTGTCCTTAGATTTTTTTTGTGTGTGTTTTTTTTGTCCTTTTCTTGTCTTTGTTCTGTTAGTTGTTTTGGGCTGTGGTTTTATTGTATATGTTCACAATGTATGGAAAGGAAGAAAAAACCAAATAAATAATATCTGATTAAAAAAAAAAAGTTAATCTCTATGCATTTCTTCATAATACTTTATGTTTAGTTGGAATAGCCCCGGTTCATAACAGGTTTACTTTAAAATTTAACCTAATGAGAATAAAGTACTGATTTTATTGCAGGAAAGAACTTGACAACAGGGAATGTAAAAAGGTAAAACACCAACTTACAAACGTGGGACTACAGCAAGGATTGTAGTGTGCTCTGATGGCTTTGTTGCTCGAATTGATCTGCAAAAGAATTTAAAAAGAACGTAAAGATTTAGATGTCAAGAGCAGTAGTGAACTATAATCACATCAATCAATCAGGTGTCAAGAAAACCTGCACTGTGAGTCTTTAAAAGCTGAATTCTGATAGGATGCCACAGACTTTGATCAACATAATTAAAATAAAATACTTCTGTGGCCCATTAACATTTCTTCGTGTGTGGAGGATCCATATGCAAATGAAATTTCCCAGCCCTTATTCAGTAGTACCAGTTACTACCACACAGAAGAGGCAGCCATTAGAGTAATTTTAAGGAGGAATTTATCAAGAATGTTGCTGGCAGGGGCAGTGTGGACTGGGATCTGTATGTGTACAATTGATGTGTACATATTTGGACTGGAATTTCTACCTCTTAATGCTTGGAATGCCAGTTACAGCGCTTCTATCCCATGCACCTTGTACCAAGATAGGAATTTTGCACAAGCGGTGAGACTTTGAATTATAGTTGCCACCACGTCTCTTTATAATTTATTCAGGTTCTATTTGTAAGGGAATCCTGTACTGAAATGTCTATGTAGGCTGTTATTGCTGACCTCTCCCTCTGAAAACACTAGTTGTCTGGCTCCCACCTCAGTGGTTCCTGTGCTCTCGCGCACCTCCTAGGAGACCAGTACCACAATAAAAACTGTAAGGATGGCAAATACTTTTGGGTTCAGAACTGTTAAAATCCCAGCTGCAAAGCAAGACAAACAGCGCATTTAGCACGATCGGCTGCAGGAAAGGCCAAGGGAGACATTAGAGATCTAATAGACCCTTGATGTCTTTATAATGATTACCTGTCACCTGCCCAATGCTATTGTTAGCCTCCTTGTGATAGCAATAAAGTTAATTGGGGGAAAAAAAGTGTTGAAAACTATAGTAAATACATTTTTTTTTAACAGGCACTCCCATCATCCCGCGCACAATGAAAACAACAACTGCGCAATACATATTGGGTATCGCCGGAGTGAGAGAAATAATTGTAGGTCCCGCATTTACAGGTAATTCTAAACTCGTGAGCCATAAGGCAATTAAAGTGTTGTCGATCATTTTTGGCTCGTAATTTTTTTCTCCTGTTCCGTGGAGACATGCAGTTTGGAGGCTTGACATATTTGGTATCTACTTACTCGACACTGTTTTTCTGCACTCAAATTCATTTTCTAGTATTTTTCTAGCCAAAAATGCACATTTTAACATCTGTGTGAAAAATAAAAATATTGCTGCGGCAGCAAAGTGGTAAAAGGAAATGTTTCTCACACTGGGTGAAAGTTTCATATTAATGGTGCCTTCAGTGAAAACAGGATACCAAAACAATCAGTGGATCCAGAGCTATCAACAGCTAAATTATATATGTTTCCCAGTATTAACCAAGCTTAGCCCTGCCACTCCCACCTACTGCATTTCCCTATTGGTCAGTAAGATTGCCCATCTCTAGGATAACTAATAAGAGACTGGAGAGGCAGAGGAGAATGGAACCAAACTCAACTTTTTCAGCAAAGGTTGAGATGTGCTTAGAGTTACAGCTGCCTATATCTCTGGATCTATTGATTTTAATAACATGCTATGCATACATGATATGCTCAATTTAAATTGTCCAGGATTGTAATGTTTACTTTTTGCAACTTTTCACTTTTGAATTTCCCGCCGGCTGTGATGCCCGAAAACGAAACTAAAAGTTAGATGCTTTTAGTTTCTGACTTTTAGTTTCATTTTCGGGCCGTGTACAGCAGAGGACGCCGCGGGCTCGCAGGGACAAGGTGAGTGTCACTTTTCTCTGCAGCCCCGAGTCTGGCTCGGGGTTACCGCTCCTGGTATGGAAAATTCACCCCGAGCCAGACTCGGGAATACCGCCAGGGAGGTTAAACAAAATAAAATCAAAATTGGTCTCAAACAAACAATACAGTAACCGTGTTGAATTTCAATCCATACTTAGTACTTGCCTGCAAACCGCCTCTGCGTCGAGGTACCTTGGGTGCCTGTGGTCTATGACAATGATTTCATGATGTTTATCAAGGAAACACTCCAGAGCCAATTCGGGTGTTCTGGCTATATTACACCGGTACCCAGCCCGGTCACAGGCCCACCAGAAGCCATCGCTCTGACTGTCTTCCTTTGCGAACACCAGCAGCACCTGACAATGAGATGTTGGAGCACAAGAGAACAATTCGGGTGAAATATGAAGGTTCGCCATACAAAGAAGGTAGATATGACTTCTGCGTTACTTCCAGCATTGTATATGAAAGCCTGAAAGCCCAGCATGCTTTGCAAACTCTGCATCATGAATGTCCTCTGTAATAAATGTACATGTGATCAGCTATGACAACAGCCATTTGAGGGCTTGCAAGTTTGGTTGAGAGCTGAAATAAGCACACTGGCAATCTTGACAAGTGGCATGCCTTGAAAGTAACTGTTTTGGAATACATTAAATTGATGGGTAAAGATCCTCTTCACTTGTCTCCCAAAACAGTTACTTTCAAGGCATGCCAATTGTCAAATAGCATTTGCTTATTTCAGCTCTCAACCAAACTTTCAAGCCCTCAAATGGCTGGTGTCATAGTTGATTACATGTGCAGCACAATGGCAACTGCAATCCAAATAAAGGCCACAATGGCACCTTCCTTGGCTGAAAAAAGGCTATCAGGGTGTATTTCCCCTTTACAGGTCACCTTATTTATCACAACTGTCTACCATACTGGCTTTATACTGGATTTCTGTCAAATGATAATTACATCTGAACAGAAGTTACGCCATGCTTCCTACAGGAACGTACTTTTCTTTGGTTCCTTCACTGTTATAGACCTATATTGATAAAATCTGAAATGTTTAACCAGGGAATTGTGTAGAGATATATTAAGGTATGCTTCTTCTGAATTAGGGAAGGCTGCAGTCATTCAGACTCTAGTAAACACAGCACTGTTCCATGACCCTGGATTGTTGGAGTGTATTACCATAGCAACTCTACTGTGTGACAGAATCAATAAATTCCCCGGAGTCTGACAAGAGCTGCTGGACTTAGTGACCTGCTTTCAAACTTCTCTGCACAGTGGACTGTTTTTCTAATGTGGATACTTCAAACATGTACACGTCAATAGTTCAAAAGGGGCTAAAAGTGTTTATAGTGAAAATACAGACACATTTGGACTATTATTCTACTAAAAGCTGAGGTTTATGCAGATAAGGGCTGCCATTGAATCCAGTTGTATTCTTCATAAAAATCATGACTTAATTTTAAAGGAGTTTCAAAGTCCCAGCATATCCTCTCCTGTTATAACATCAGCATTGTAATAGGAATACATACTAGAGTTGTTTTTGATAATGCAATCAAAGCATACTTGAAAAAAAATCAATTTTATTTAGTGAGTGCTGCCATCACTTTCAACAACTTCCTGGATACCATTCGGCTTATATTCGGGACGGCTTATACTCGAGTATATACGGTACTTTACATCTCTTTCCCTGCTGCGTGATGTGAAGCAATCTGAATTTCTCAGCACTACATAACGCATCATGTATTGCTTTTAACAAGCAATGATAATGTTACATTGTTTAGATGTTGAGTTGTAGTTCAGAAGGCAGGCTTAATGAGTTGTGACACAGAGAAGTACATATTCACAGGGCTGAGTGAAATTGTGTCAGTGCATTGAGCAAGATCATCCTATGGGCATCTTCAATAAGTAAGTTTACAAACTTCTTGATGGATATGGTTATTAGGAGTGGTATAGAACTTATGGAAATTCAATATAGAAATGCATATTTATTTTGAGTTTTTTCCCTCAATGGGACTTCCGGTATCGATATTAGGTATCGGCGAGTAACGGGAAACAAATATCGGTACTCGATACCAAAATACTGGTATCGGTGCATCCCTAATAGCTAACATATGGGTGAATTTACCAGTATATCAGAAGGCTAGATATCACATTATATAGTGATATCATCAAGCTAAGTAACATTTTTGTTGTATTCTTCTAGATAAAAGGTAAGATAAAATTACCTGTATAGGATCCTGTGTTAGTCTCATAGGTCCCAACCACGATTCTGATGATGAAACCTGCTGGAAGTAAACAATATGGTTCACTATTCTGTTTTTCCTTTATATATACAATAAAAGTAAATTGGGCATTAAGACTTGCAAAACAACATGTCACATTTGCAGAACAGGATATCATAAAATACATGAGGTCCTGATCTATGAATGCATAATTACCCCCTGACTTTTCATATAGTTCTGTACTTAAATAAAACAAAGTTGCAGTCCATATACAGAATTATGACTGTTAGAAACATTAGAAGTTATTTACTGTGTAGGAACCAAAGATGGTAACGCGCTATGTAGTACTTGGGTAAATATGTAGTACGGTGATGTGGTGCTGGGTTGTTCGTTGTCAAGGATATGTGTTTTATTATACAATAGAGACTATACAACATTGCTTTCATTTTATTAGATCATTCTTTACAAAGAAAAACTTGTGATATACCTTCAAAGTTTATAAATGTACTACATACCTGCACTATCTAGTATCATTCTTACCAAATGTCCTTGAATGTAAAAATGCTTCTATTAGTATGTTAAGTAAGTACAGCATGCATTCAAAGGGAAATATTTGTGGTTCCCAAGTTCCCAACCATTTATTTTTTTTGCAATGAGTTATGAAAATTCCAATTGTATGGCTAAAATGAACATTCTTATCTATATGTTAAAGTGTCACTAAACTCAGGAGTTAAATCTTCAAAATGCATTCAAGTATCTCAACTAATAACAAAAATGTTCAGAAATCATCTCTGAATTCATGCTGACACTGTCCTTCCTTCTGGAGGGTGGTTACTTTTGTTCCCCATGGTCCCTGTGTGTGTTGTAAAGTAACCACCACTCCAAGCTCACTCCTGTGATGGACTACAATCTTATGTTAGTTTACTAATTTGTATTTAGATTGTAGTCCATCACAGGAGACACCTTCCTTCTTTGGTGTCAGCACCAATTCAGAGATGATTTGAGGATGTACAGCCGAGTGATACACAAATAAGATAGATTTTTGTTAATAGTTCAGGCACTTGAATGCATTTCTAAGATTAAACCCCTTTATTGTCACTTTAGATGTCTGTACTGGAGCCTGCAAAGCATTTTAATCACACTCAGTTTGGTGTCACTTTAAATTTGGGTCCAGGAGCTTCAAACTATAGATCTGTGTTTATACCAGTTGGGAGTATTTTTGATAGTAAGCATACAGGGTCAGTACCTAAAAACAGGTAACAGAGCATATTCACTTTTTTGCAAACAGAACCTGACATCAATGATGTAGGAAAAGACAATCAATGATCATCAGCAGATCCAGCTGTTGGATTTATGCTTTATTCTGGGAAATGAAAGCAAGTATGTACAATTGCGATCACCCTGATTACAGTTCTCAAGTCTTATCTGAACTCACAGCTAAAAAGGTCCCAAGTTTCACCCACATCACTCAAAAAATCTGGCAATGCAACACAAGCATTAAATACAGTGATTCTCTACAGTATGTCCTTGGTGCCCAATGTGTGGCCCGAAGGCTGCTTGCCACCTTTTGGTGTTTGCTGTAAGACCCTTGAACCCCTGTAGAGAGTAGTGGGAGCACTGATGGGTGCGTTGCTTATATCTGCCAAGTGTTTTACTTCTGAAGTAAGAGGGGCTGTTATGGCAGTGATCTTTAGCAGTTGCATATAACCTGTTCCCATGCAGTCTTTAGCCTTCTCATGCAGCATGTGTCCAGTTTTTGATTAGTAAGCTTAAAGTCTCCGACAGTCATCTCTGGCATTACATATTCTCAATAATATGCGTGGCCCAAAGCTATATATAAGTTGACAACCACTGCTCTAAGTGAACCACAGGATTTGTAAAGCCTGACTTCAATGCACCAAGTACTGTATTCTACACTGCCTGTCCACAAAATAGTCACCACATGGATTAAAGGAGAACTATGAGGTGAGTGCTTTTCACTCACCCCATTGTTCTAGCTGACCTGTGACAATGAGACTTTGGGTCGGCTCAGTAGATCGGGAGGTGAGCGAACACATACCGGCATTCGCTCACCTCTCGATCCTGTCACGGCTCTCTGCCGTGACAGGGGAGGGACTGGATTCCCACCTCCCCGCTCCGATCCTCCAGTGCTGACTGGCTGATCGGACGGGGGAGGGGGCGGGTACAGCTGGCTCTGCCTCTAGATAGGCAGAGCCAGCTGTCACTCACGCAGCTCAGCGGATCCAGACATAATTGTCAGGATCTGCTTCAGCTGCGGCGTCTCAGTATACCGCGAGCTGTGGCTCGCAGTATACTGAGCTTAGGGTGACGGGAGGACGCTAGTTTGTGTCCTCCCGTTACCCTAAGGAGAAATATGGGGAAAATAGTTCTCCTTTAAGCTAAGCAAATACGTAAGAGCCTTCCACTGTACTGTATAATAGGTCTAGGTTGAGCAATGTTAGGTGCCCAAAAAATGCAGTCAACTGCCTACCTGAATATACTGAATGACCAGGTTTTTCCATCAATGGATTTTTTCTTCACTGATGGAACATTGGGCATATTTCAAGATGACAATGCCAGGATTCCTCGGGCTCAAATTGTGAAAGAGTGGTTCAGGGAGCATGAGACATCATTTTCACACATGAATTGGCCACCACACAGTCCAGACCTTAATCCCTGGGATGTGTTGGAAAATACTTCATGCAGTGGTCCGGCTCTCCCATAATCACTACAAGATCTTGGTGAAACATTAATGCAAAAAAATTCAATAAATGATGTGACTTTGCAGAAGCTTATCGAAATAATGACACAGCGACTGTGTGCCTGTCCAAGACTTTTTTCTTGGACAGGCAGTGTAGAATAGGAAGCAAAAGCACAGATGGATTTTAAAGTACAATGTTGTGTTAAGCACGGACCCTTTTCACTCTCATATATCCAACAATGACAACTGGTCTGTGAGAGATAACCGTGAAAACAAATGTAAAAGGATTGACTTATAAAAATATGTTTAAATAAATGGAGACTAATACAATCAATACTCTCCCATATATTTCTGTCTTTATACTAAAGCCACGCTGAGCTGTAATGATTAAGCATTGTTTACTCTAGCAGCCTGTAGTAGGAGTGATAAGATATAACCACTCACAGAAGGCAGAGCACAGGATTTTAGTACAACACACCTTACCAGAAGTTATTTTAGTCCATATTAGGTGCTGTGTGGGCGCAATGAGAAAACAATTCATTTACTTCATGCATTTCTACATAATTTCCAGTGATGAGCAAATTTAAAATTTGGCATTTAGGTTATGTGGAGGGTGAAAAGTGAAACACTTGGCAGATATAAGCAACCCATCCAGCATGAATTAACTACTAAGGAGTTCTTAGGGTATTCCTTAATATAGAAGTAAATTACTACTTTAGTAGGGCAGTCAAGTCACAAATGGTATGGCATCCCTTTCCCAATAATCCACAATGTCTCCAAACCACAAACAAAAATAAGATCCCTCCTGGGAGTGCTGTATTCCCATAAATGGTAGACACTGAAGGTCTGAAAGACCCCCTTTACCAGTCAAAAAACTGACATTCATCCAAGCAATCCACGGTGACTAAACAATCAAATCTGGGTTCAGGAAAAACATGATGCTTATCCCTAATACTTCCCTTTGGTCCTCCCTTTTTCCTTCCCATTTTCCACCTATTCCAGCAATTCTCTATTTCCCAAACTAACAAGGTTCATGAAGTCTGCAGATTTATACTGATGTATTATATTGCTCTAACAAAACGTCTTCATACTTTTTCCTGCTTTACAAACCTTATGGGAGCACATTCTTACAAAATCCCTCTATTTAAAAATCTCTGACAAAAACTGATACATCTATGGCTCACAATATACATTATCAGTAAGATGTGGATATAATAATAAATAAAAGTACACAGAATGTGGGGTGCCTGCAGTATTTGACAGTCAGGGCAGATCATTTAAAAACCTCATTCTATAGCCCTTGGGTAGAAGAGTAAGTTCGGGCGATGCGGTCACAAATTTCATTGCAATGGAATACATGGTTCCAGTAGGATCAGAGGGACCAAGGGTCCATTCACAATGGATTTGTTGAGTTGTGATCCGTTGTGTTGCAATATGTTTTTTAACAGATGCTAAAGGTAGAACACCGAAATATAAATGGGTGTAAATGGGACTAGTTCACACCGCTCCGTTCTGTAGGGTACGTTATGTTGCACTGAAAAAAAAGTAGAACATGCCCTACTTTTTTCTATGCAACGTAACGCACCAGATCTGGTGTTCATTTTTTGGAGCCCTTCTGTTTTATCCATTAAAACATGATACTGAGACTATGCGGTAAAGTTTTATGCCTCATATAGACCTGCTGGGGGTATGTGATAGGATTGCCACCCGTCTGGTTTTGACCCGGACAGTCCAGTTTTGGTGTGTTGTGTCCGGGTGCCCAGCCAGCAGGCACCCGTACACAAGACACTTAGTGCCGACACCAGCACTTTACATTTTCTGATAGGTGCGGCTGCCGAGGTCCTTGTCAAGTGCGATCTCGAGCAGCCGCACCGCCCGGATCAGCCTCTGAGCTGCGGGCAGCCTGTGCCCGGAGCTCAGAGACAGATTCGGGATTCAGGCAGATGTGGCTGCCCGAGATCACGCTTGACTAGGACCTCGGCAGCCGCATCTGTGATTGCTCCTCCTCTCTTCTAACTCTGGTGATCTATCACTTGTAAAAGAACGAGGAGACGTTCCTCTATGTGATAGATCACCAGAGCTAGAAAAGCAGCTGGGCTATGTAGATCCCTATGCAGCTGAAGGGAAGAGACGGGGTTTCAGAAATTGCTGAGCGGCAGGGGGAACGAAGATTTACAGGAGACCAGAATTTGGCACAACACTGGCTCCCTGACACCATGCTGCCCTTCTGCGGACCCCCTGGTGAGACACCATAGCTTAGACAGCACAGCCAACCCGAGTGTCACACAGCCCACCCGAGTGTCACACAGCCCATCCGAGAGTCGCACAGCCCACCGAGAGTCGCACAGCCCACCCGAGAGTC